CTCCATACACTGGTACTGTCTCTGCACGCTTGATTACTTTCTGGGTATCATACAGAAGGAACATGCTGAAGAGAACTAATCCTCCATACATTGCCACTGAGTACAGAGTGGCACCAGCCACAGTGGTAGGTGGAAGAAACATAGATCCTGAAATCAAAGTCGGAAAAGAAAAAAATTAAGATTTTCTTTTTCAGAAAAGGACTTTTCTATAGCTGGATTTATAATTTATATTACTCCAAAAAAAGTTTCTTTGGTATACTGTGCAGGTAAGAAGATATCTGAGTATTTGCAGGGTCTAATCTTACTTACACTAGTTCAAAGCCCATGACACTCACTCCTCCAGTGGGTCACTTGCCCACATTACATCAAGGCTCTTGCATCAGAGCAATTTGCACGTTCTCCAGACTAACTTTCCCATTTTAGATGTTTCTGGTAAATGATGATTGACCATGGTGCCAAGATTTTCATATGACCCTGAACAATTAAATCCAGTAAAATGAGATATATCTTTTAAAGAACTTTAAAAAATGGCTCTTAATGAGTTAGTATACATGTGTATTTCAGATTTCAGTATACTATGAACCAAGAATCAAGTGCCAGAGCACAGCAGCTTACCCAGTGAGGACACAAAGACGAGACCCAGGCCCACTCCCAGTGGTGCTCCCATGTTCAGAAACTTCTCGCTGGGTGCGCACATGGCCACAGTGGAGAGGCCTCCCACAATGCCAGCTGTGTACCATGCAGCCCTGATGAGAAGAGGCCCGCCTAATATTGTCAGAGGAGCCACCACTGCACCCATCACACCTGAAGAAAAGGCAAGTGTTCATTAAGTATTTAGTAAATAACAACCAAAGGGAAAATGCCACTTCTCACATGCCATCATAATGTATCATACCTTATTGTTAAGCAATATGACTAAAAGTGTTCCCTTCAGATAATACTAACCCCCAAAATTTCACAACCCAAACCTGTGGCTGACTTCTCACATGCCATCATAATGTATCATACCTTATTGTTAAGCAATATGACTAAAAGTGTTTCCTTCAGATAATACTAACCCCCAAAATTTCACAACCCAAACCTGTGGCTATTCAAATTCTACGTCATAACATTAACACTGTTACTAGTCAAAACAATCACAGCTCACAAGCACAAAAACTAATGGCTGTTCAAATTCTACGTCATAACATTAACACTGTTACTAGTCAAAACAATCACAGCTCACAAGCACAAAAACTAATCTATATTTTTAGTAACTTTGTCAAATTCCATGTAGCTCACTATTTGGATCTTACCACCAGTTTTTACAATATTCATACATTTAAGAATTGAGATAAAAAGGCTTAAAATGAGTAACTCAAGGTCAAACCTATTGCTGCCAAAAGAATATAAAGTAAAACAAGAGAAAGACTACATGATGGTAATCTTAAAATGTGAGAACTTCCAGAACAGACACGACCATTACTTTGTGTAATAGTGAATGCTATCACAACTTATAAAAAATAATTTTAGTTGTCATATATATATCTTCACAAAAATTACAATGAAAGGTATCAATAATTTCATTAATGAAGGTAAATGACTCCTTAATTAAAAACATATCTTAGATAGGGCATTATTTCAGTGGTGAGCAGAATAAGTTACCCTTTTCTTAAATAGAGTTTACCTCATAGAATAGGCACAGAGCTATCTTTATATTAAATCTGTGGGGTTTTTTTGGTGGCTGGCTGGTACATGGATCTGAACCTTTTGACCTTAGTATTATAACACCATGCTTTCTAACCAACTGAGCCAACTGGCCAGCTGTCTGAATTTTCAATACTAGTGTATCTCTTTGCAAGAGTAGTATTTCTAGATCAAATAATAAGGCATACTGTATCTCACGAATAATTGTTGTTCTAGGAAAGATACTGGATAAAAATTTCTACGTATAACATTTCTATTAGGATTCCCATCAATTTTGTAATTGGCAACAAAATTTTTAGCAAAACTTGCTCTATTCTCAGTTTCTTTTCTTTATAGAGACACTAAACAAAAACAACTCTCATGGGATGTGTATCAAATCTGAAATCCTCCTCGTATTGGACAAAAATACAAAAATAAATCTCTGCATATACTAAACTATTATAGGAGACCACCTCAATATTGGGAATGTCCACGGTATTAGTGTCAGAACCAACTTTTCAGAGCAGAGGTCTGACAATAACGCAACCCGTAATGACTACAGAAAACTGCATTTTCTGAATATGAGGTTTAATTAAATTATGTATAAGTCATTCACAGCTGCGAAGAGCCACCCCCAAAAGATAATAAGGTTGCTTAACAACTTAAAATAGAACATACCAGAATGTAGCAACCAAGCAAGATGCTTTGAGCCTGGGCTCCGGTCATATGGTATTGATTGTACTAGTATTCCAGTTCCAATCATGGCTGCAAAGGTTGCACCAATTGTCTGAAAGAATTTAAAAAGTTAAGAAAAATTAATCTTTTTATAAAAACAATGTAGAAACACACAAGTTTCAAGTACAATTAGTCACTTCTAATAAACCAGTTTTATAAAGATGAAGGATAATAAACCGAATCCTGTATTTTTCTGGCACATTAAAGCCTTGAGTTTATTTCAGAGTTTCAGCTAAGTTAGCAAGAGCGCCCCTTTTGCGATATCTGAGTTTCAGCCGACAGCTTCAAGTTCATGAGTTAGCTTGGACTGGCACCATCCTCTTCACAATGCTATTTTTGCTGGACAGAGATGAAACAAAACCCTTTTAAGAATCCCAGGATAATTATTCTTAGTTAAAATACGTATTTTGGTACAGCACAAATAGCATTCTCTTTAAAATCACTCCTGGCCTACTAATTAGAAGAAATATAGATAGCACATTGCTTTTAACTCCGTATTTGCTAAACGAGTCCCTGAAAAATAGAAACTAAATATCACTTATGGCATATGGAAAAGAAGATGAGAAGTAAGATTCTACATTTCTATTCTCCCAGGTTTGTGGCTTCCTTCTTTGCCTATCTTAGCTTTCCATTGTTATATTTAAATATTCCTTGTGTATGACAAGAAGAGATGTGTATAATGAAAGAGAGACAGTGACAATCAATCTTCAAGAATGTTAAAGCAGAGACTGCAAACTGGTAGATAATCAGGTCAGCTGATCTATCTTGTTTGATCAACTAATCAAAGACAACTGAAAGCGATGAGCACTTTGGTTGGGAAGACTTTCTCCAGATGCCAACAATCCCATGTGACGTATCAGGCCTCTTCACTCATTCGTATCGACTGTCTGTCCTATGGGTATCAAGACGGTCAACATCTGATGTAAAATACAGGTAAACAGAACAGCTGTTTTTGCTGATAATAGAAAAACCTTAATACATAAAAGCATACTGGGTTCTACTCCGTCATTTTCTAATAAAGAAACAATTACTAAAAACTACATCACACATCCTCTATGCACAGCATTTTCAGGATATTAACTGTAGTTATATTTTTCTCCATTTTTTTCTTCCTTACTTCTTCATGGAAACATGCAATTATATTTTTTTCTTTTCAGGTCCTTCATGATCCAGTCTCATTTCCTGCCTTTTACCTTTCCACGCTTTATATTCCAGCTATACTGAACTGGTAGGGCTACAGACATGTCCCCGAAAGTTTCATGCTTCCTTAATTCTGTGGATTATGCCTAAGAATAGCTTCTTCCTACGTGGCTGACTTGCTATGGTATTATATCTCCTCGTCTAGGATGCTTTTTCTAGTAGGTACCCTGGATGCCCAGGGCAGTGTCAGATGCTTCTCTTCTGGTTTAAAAGCACTTGGGAAAAACTTTGACACTAAACTGTATGTGTAATACACATATACACACAGTTCAAAAAGTGTGCAGAAAAATAGAATTAAAATATAAAACTTTCCATGAACTTTTGGTAGTACCCACACATATATGTCTGTCACACTAAATGCTACATCTTCATCTCTGTCTTTGGCTTTCTCAACTATTTTATTTAAGAATCCCTAAGAGCAGAGGAGTGATCTTTTGCCCAGAGAGGCTAAGGGAACAGCCCAAGCATAAAAATTCTCTGAAGTCTTTTGAAAAGCATGATCCTAAGACTAGGTGTCCAAATGGCTATGCTATTGTAAATGGTTCTTCTTTTGGAAAACATGACAGAGGAGAAATATTATGGATTTGGATTACCTATGGGGGGAATCAGTAAGTCTTAAACTCTCCCAGTCTTTCCTGACCCTCCGGGCTCACACACATTGCTCTAGTTCAGGTTCTTATCTCTCAGTTCAGATCTTACAAAGGCATACTTGGTACACCTGCTTCATGTCTCTTCCACGTTAGTTCTTCAATCTCAAATACAAATCATATTTTTGCTGTTTCAGTATCTTCAATGGCCTTCAACTGCTTAGGTAATCTCATTAGCTTGGCATCAAACATACCTTTTCTAAGTGTCTTCTTCACATTCCAAGCCTCAAACACTTACACTTTACACTAAAGGGATTGTAAATCACTTCACAAATTAGGTTTTCCTACCTCTTCTCCTTTGCTCAAGTTGTTTAGTAAAATTGGATTGCCCTTGTTGTCCTCTTCTAAAATAATACATGTTAGCCTTCAACAACCCTAATGAAATATAAAGTCTCCTTCATGGAATTTCCCTAACAGTCTAAGTCAGAAACATCTTTCAACTGTTATGCACTTTCTGCTTATCGCACATCCTATACCACTTAGTACAGTTCATCTCTTCTCCCAGATACTGAGAAAACAGGAACACATCTGAAATCATATTTTGGTATCTAGTAAAATAACAAGCATTCAAGAAATACTCATGGAACATAAAACCTTACATAAGGTCAAGAAGTTTAGAAAAAAACAAGGCAGCACTATTCCACTCTTAAAAGCACAGAATGCTTAGTTTTTTGTGACAGGTTATTTCCCACTGACCTCTAAGATGGTTTGCATCTGCTTTATATTTCAGTAAATTGCTACAAAATAGAGTAATGCTGCTTGATATCCATTGTTAGGTAAGAAGTATGTCCCTGTACGTTTGATTTCCAACTCCTATGGTGCTATTAATATACGTCTTCAACAAAGAATAACAGCTGACTTATCTCAGAATGAACTTCCTACTTTGTCTCAGCTGCAGTAATGTCGTATATGATTTGAACAAAACCTCATTCTATACAGTATTCTTCTCATTTAATACTCCCCCCGCACAATGTATTTCATCTACTCTTTGATCTTTAGATGGAAAAGGCAAACAAAAATAAGCTGACTTACCACCCAAGAGCCTCTCATCATGAAGTTCATGAGAACAGGAGCTCTGGTTATTGCCAAGGCAGACAAAGCTGTTAAACCAATACTTCCTGCCAAGTACATATAGGTAGAATGAATTCTATCCTTCACATACTGAGGCCAAATTCTGCAAGAAACATGACAAGGTTGATTTATAAAATTATGAATGTGAATTCTGATTGAAACGTTTACCAGCTGAGTGACCTTGGGATAAATCTCTCTACTGCACTAAATCTTATTCATTTAAAAAAACATGTAAGCACTTGACACATAAAAAGCAATATATTTTCTCTGTGCTTAAAGAAATATAACTGTGGTAAAAGATCTTTATTTAGGTTTGAATAAATATACGCCAAGGAAGCAAAAGAAACTCTATTTTTATTCACGTATATACAAAGATGAAGATTAGACACAAAACGTTCCAAAAATGACTAAAAATAAAGTTGAGAAGAAAACTGGAACTTTTGTTTCAATGCTGAAAATGTTTAGGAACAATTGACTTACACAGCCTTTTCAATAGCTCCAATTTCATTTGACATTCCCAAGCCATAGTAGCACAATGCTCCAAGACCAACAGCAGCCCCTCCAGCAACAAACCATCTTCCCATCTGATCAACTGCAGAACACAGGAGGAAATGCAGGTTAATTAATACAGATGCTCCTTGACTTATGCTGGGGCTACGTCCCAATAAACCAACGGTATGTTGAAAACATCAAGCTGAAAATGTGTTTATTACACCTAATCTACCAAACATCATACCTTAGCCTAGCCTACTTTAAATGCACTCAGAACACTTACATTAGCCTACAGACGGGCAAAAACATCTAACACAAAGCCTATTTTATAACAAAGTGTTGAATAGTTCACGTAACTTACTGGATCCAGCACTGAAAGTGAAAAACAGAATGGTTGCATGGGTATGGTTCCTACTGAATGTGTATCACTTTCACACACCATAAAGTTGAAAAACCATTAAGTTGAACCATTGTAAGTTAAGGACTATCTTTACTGTCATGTCTTGACTACACTGAAGTACTGGTTGTAAGGTCTTCACAATATTTACGAGGGGAAGCAAATCATATGCTGTATTTCTTCAAAACTGTCCTCATTAGTTTAAATGGATATATAGAAATGGCCTCAAAGTTAGGGGACCGATAGAAAAGGACAGCCCTGAAAAAAAGGTACAATAATTAGTTCAAAAAGGAAATTACCAAACTTAATTAACCTTCAACCTTACTTCAACAATATTTGAGGGGACAGTGTATCTGTAGATGTGAATACTTCTGTGATACACATTATTCTACAATTAAGAGACTGGGGTGTGTTCTCATGACATTCTTAGAAAGTAAAAAATGAGAAGGAAATGTCAGTCATACCACACTGGGTCTAAAGTGATACTAACAAAGGTGATGCTTTACCTGGGGTTAAGAAAAAAAAAGAACCAAAGAAAAAAATGTAATCAGTGTTTATGCAGCAGAATCAAGGGAGTGATCCTCTTTTTGAGTACTGAGAGACAATTTATCCACTCTAACTCGATGGAGGAATTCAGAAAGAGCACCTTACTCCTCTAGTCTGAATGTGTTCACTAAGAATGTTTCTATGCTGTCCCTACATAATTCATATGATGTGGTCTCTAGGATCAACATACTAATCAGAAAGAAATGACCTGAGGGATACCAATTAGGGCTCTTTTCCGTTATAATATACTGACATTTTATAAGATTGTTAAGGAGCAGTGGTATTCTTTGGTTAGCTTTGGGAAGATTAACAATCTAGTTTCTAGACTTGCAAAGCTGAAATCCAAACTGTGAACCAAACTGACTTCATTAAGCTACTGCACTCCTGAGGTGCCTTATATGGGCAGCTAGGCTTTTATTAACATCTGTGTTTTGGTGATTTATTCTTGACCTGAAACATACACAAATATTACATGCTTGAATGACAATCCTAAACAACTTCAAATGAACTTCCTCAACAGACTATACCTTTTAGACTGTGACATATTAACTAACAATCCTTTCATTAAAAAATGGATGGGCCAGCCCAGTGGCGCACTGGAGAGTGCGCCGCTTGGGAGTGCGGCGGCGCTCCCACCGAGGGTTCGGATCCCATGTGGAGACCGGTTCCCACTCGCTGGCTGAGCGCGGTGCGGGCGCAACACCGAGGGTTGCAATCCCGTTGCAGGTCCCCGGTACAGGCGCGACACCGAGGGTTGCGATCCCGTTACCAGTCAGTAAAAAAGACAAAAAGGAAAAAAAATGGTAATATGATTTGCACTGGAAGAAATAGGACTGGGAACCACTGAACTCAGTGCCAACTACCAATCTTTTGGGGGTCATCAGATCCCTGAGAAAAATAATGTAGCCTTTCTTTCCAGAGAACACATATATAGGCAAGTTTGCACATATTTTTAGGAGGCTACTCATGGACCACTTGAAACATACCCATGGACTCTAGGTTAAAAACTAAAGACTGCCACCTACTTTTAAATATTTTTTCCATCGATGGTTCCAATGCTGCCTCTTTGAGTTCTTGGCCAGTTCTCCCACGCCGGATCCCAATTCTTGTTTTGGTGGCATATTCCTGACACACATACAAACAAAGACACATATAACCCACACCAAAATAAAATGTTAATAATGGAGAATCTATCCCCACTAGAAAACTCTAGTTAAAGAAACCTGGTACTCTGTATATATGTAGCTTCATTATGAAAGTTTGTTGGCTGACCTAAAAAATTTAATGTACACCTTAACCTGTGTTTCACCTTTGAAATGATTCACAAATTCATTATACACTTCTTAGTTTAAATTTCAGAATGTTTCTTTTATAAATTAGATTTTATTTATATACCTAGAATTATTATATTCTAGACACTAAATACCAAAATGTAAATTTATTAACATTTTTAAAAAATGCACTTAATAAGTGGTAGCTATATTTTGTCTCAAGAAAGGTGTCCTTCCTTAACACAAAGGCAAGGATGATGACTACACCTCTGTTTTCACCCTTTTTCAACAGTGGAACAGTTAATTTTAGAGGGAAAAAGTTCTCTCCTTCAGTTTCTGTATATTCTCCTTATTTATCTCATTCTTCAAAACGTGTACTCCTTCTAATTTGAATGCTAGAGAAGTCTATTGAAAAAGAAAATGAGTTTCTTTCTAACCTGACATTTACTTTATCACTCTCTAAACAAGAGCTGAAATATCTTTAGTAACTTATTAATAAGCTATTGGCCAACTGGTAATATCCTTGGGTAATATCCCTAAAATTCTGACTATAGGCCCTATGATTTTTGTTGTATCATGTAACTTTCGATCACTCACAATTTACTATAAATTTTCTGAATGACAAATTCCAAGAGATGTAAGTAAAAGAAAAGTTAGCGGAGCTCTTTTTCTCTTTTCGTATGTGATAAGGAGGGAAAAGAATGATACAAAACTAAGAAAGAGCTGAATGGGGACATTATCAAGGCTGTCTCAGCAATCACTAGAGCAGAGCAGTAAGCTTCATACTCTAACAAAAAAAAGTTCCAGGGACACAAAACAAAGAAAGACGGACAATATAAAAACATTAAGATTATCTTTACCCTGCTGGGTGTTAAGAGCCATTGATTCTTTGTGATGGAATTCTTCACAACAGGGGAGGCCTTGGTGAAAGCTGGGTGGAAAACCCTGGAAGGTAGTGTCCGGAGACACACAAGCCTTGCGGCCAGCATAGTGGTGCACCAGGTTTATCAAGCAGATCTGAAATGCTAGTTAGAAAGACACAAAAAATAACCCATTAACCAATTAAGGTAAGGACAAAAAGGAGCCAGAGACAAGAAGGAACAAATTATCTTTTAGTAGAAAAAGATAGAATAAAGGCAACCTTTTAATTTTTAATGATGAATATTTTTCTTGTCCCTTGTAATTCAAGAAACCCATCCCACAGAAGCCAGTTTGGGTACTAATTTGAGCCATAAAATTAGGTCTAATTCCCAGTTTAACCAATAACAGGAGGTATGACTGCGAAAGTCACATGTAACAGAGTGGGCTTTAATATCTTAACATGATTATACGGTCTGTGATGGCTTTTTACAAGTTCTGTCTTAAGATTTATACTACTAGTCAACTGGAAAATTTAAAAGAATCTGTATAACTTCTGAGCAGAGAAAAAATGTCATCCAAGGAAGAGATGAATAACTCTTCAAGGTCAAGTATGACAAAGTTAAAAGACTTCAAAAGAAGCCAAGATATAAATTACAATTATCTATTCCACTATAATTATAAATCAAATATTACTTCCCTTCAGGATAAGATATAAAAATACTCAAAATAAGTTAACCTATTCTATTCAATTGTTAGAATGACATAAAGGACACCAATCTTTCAAAGTAAACTCAGTTACCAACCCAGTTTTACTCATGTTAGACTCCTTCAAGTGCTGTCCCCAAAAGAAAAGCATGCTAAAAAGTGGGTTCTCTTAGCTCTAGGCCTGATTATACCAGATCAGAGGTCAACCAGAAGTCAGCTGAATGTCTTTCTGTAATGCTGAGGTGACTATGACAGGTGAAAATGAGAAGACAAGTATAGGTCAACTTGGGCTAACAACCCACCTCTGCCAATGATCTGTAAAGAATCTTAGGCAAATGACTACCCTTCTGGGTCTCATTTTACATCCCATCAGTAACAAGAGAATTGGACTTGAAACAGTGTTCAGACTGCAGTGCTGACCCTTGGAGTATCTGCTTTGAAACTTGCCGAGATGGATCTTAAAATGTAGACTTCTGGGTTTCACTTCGCTCGTAATGATTCTACGCCTAGGAATGGGACCAGGAATGTGTTTTAACTAACACCCCCAAAGCTAGTAACTCTTACTTTAAAATATCTTTGTGTCCTTCCAGCTCTGCTGCTGAAACCGTGAAGGGTACACAATAAGGGGCACCTGTCTCTTGAGAAAATACTGCGCCCTTATCGCACTTTCATGCCGTTACATCATCTCAACCCATGGCTGTCCTGCACCTTCCTTCCTCCTTAGCCCAGACTGGGAATCCAGCTTCGAGTGGATAGAAGTGACCTGTGCGGGTGCTCGACCTCTGAGACTCACGTGTCTTAGCTGTAAAATGGACAAAATATTACCTGCCTTTACGTAAGAGCTTACGCGTCCATGAGCATTGGTGAGCTCGGGCTCCTGGTGCCCCGAGAAGGTTCACCCAGCGCACCAGACTGGGATAAGCACCCTGCAGCAAGCCTGCAGCACCCCCAGGGCAACGCGCACCTCTACAGCGCCCCCGCCCCGGCCCAGGTGCCGCTTTAGCTACCAGGGCGGCGGCGCTGCGGCAGATGACTCAGCACTTCGCAGCCCAGGGAGAGACCACCAGAGCGAGCCCTTGCCCGCCTACGCTTGACCCCGTGGCCGCCACCCCTCGCCTTGGTCACCCACAGGACGGCGACCCTGACGCGGTGCGCGGCCGTGACGCAGCCAGGAGCGCCGCCGCCTCCCGCCCGCCAGGAGTACCGGAATCCCGGGCGCTCGCGGATCCGGGGGAGAAGTACCTCGGTCCCCGGTCACCTCCACCGCCAAGTTCCCCTTCCGGGCGGCGAAACGCGCACGCGCCCACTTCCCCGGTCCCTCCCCTGCTTATTGCCTCTGCGCGCGCAGCCTCTCCTGCTCACTAAGTGACGCGACATCCGGAGAGGCGGTAAATCGTCTGATCAGCCAATCACGAGCAGGCCTTTGGCGGAAAGGCGGGCACACCGGAGGCGGGGTTCCGGGTTGGTGGGGCGGGGCCGATTGGAGATTGTGGCTGAAACGTCACAGTCAGCGTCCATTTTGGGTGTGGGCAGGGAAGCCCTCTCCGCCGTTTTATCTGTGGGCAGCGGTGCTCTGTTTTGCTATCTTCTCAACCTTTCAACTCGCAGCAGATGCAAAAATTATTTAAAAAATGGAAAGGGAGTAGTGTTGGAGTTAGAAATTATCCCGTCGTTCTGTGATTTTCTTATTGAAGGTCTCTGTGTCCCTTATTGTGAGATAAATACCGTGCCAAATGTGGCTGTTTCTGACTGGACCCAAACCGTTTCTTGAGTCTGACGCCAAACGTTACGTCGTGAAATCTAGAAAAGGTTTTTTGTGGATTTTTTTTCCTCCTTTTTTTTTATTGCCTTGTGACCTTGCCATGGCACACTTTTAAGTTTCAGGTCATATCTGTATGACAGGGCTCATAGAATTGGCTCTGCCACCTGCCCAGGGTGGTTCTGATGTTTTCGTTGCCTGTAATTTGTTACGTGAAAAGCCTTTCTCGGTTACAGAAGTGGTTAGTTATCTCTTCCACTCTTGTTCTATTACCTTTAAACTTGTATTTAGTGAAGGCTCACTTTGTACCAAGCTCTGTTTTAGGGATATATAGAAATGAAGGAAAAAAAATTGGGGGGGAAACAGTCATTACCTTAGGGTGTTTGCTTTGTGATAGAGACAAAATAGACTAATGTTGTTACTGGCAGACCAGGCTCGGCTTGCCCTGTCACAGTAAACAAATGACTGGCAAGTCCAGAAGTTGGTACAAGGATTGGAAGGTTTATTCAGATAACCAGCATCTAGGGTATGACCAGGCTAAAATCATCCTGCCTTCTGATGCCTGTTCTGGGGTTTATAAAGGGCAAGAGGCGGGGAAGATGAGGTAAGGGTCTTTGTTCTGAAAAAAAGGGAGGAGTCGGGGAGCAGCACATGGTCTGAGTCAGATGTCAGGGTCCAATGATGGATTGGGAACTTCAGGGTCACAGAGTCTGTGGTCAGCTTCAAGCCTTTGATGTTACCTTGGGGTTGGAGTCCTTATCTCCTAGGGATAGTTCAAGGATAATAACCTCAGTCAAACATCATAAAAGTACCTGACTTGGATTTCTAATTAACGTGGATATGGTTTTCCTTTAAGAGGGGGAGTTCATAATCAGCTAGGTTGCCTTTCTTCTCATACTTCCTCTTGTTTGCAGCTGATTAAAGTGGTAAGAAAAAATAAGAAACTTAGTTTCAGTCCTTAATCGTTGGTGTATAACCTCTGGAGTAAATCAACATAAGGAAGGGTGATTTCATCTCCCAGCAATCTCTCAATTCTTCTGCTAATCTCAAGGAATTGATGATTACCAGTTCCCAATTTAAGGGCTGACTAAAACATTCTATTTGGTCTTAGTTACATCAAAGATGGTTGTTTATCTGGCTAGCGTCCCTTTCAATGTTAGGTGGTGATAATTACTGTGAAGGAAAAGCAGGGTAAAACCCCAGAGGGGTGCTTTTTTTAGATAAGGTGGTTAACAACATGTAGAATTCAGGAATGTTTGTTATCTCCTAAGCAAGTGTTAGTTGTGATTGATAGTATTTGGTGATAAAATGTTGCTTTGCCTCTGACGGATTTGTCACCCCTTTTCCCCTGGGTGATGGAGCTGCCAAAGATTACTCAGAGCTTATCTCTTCTGAGCAGTGAGAAGCCCCGAAAAGGGGTTAATCTCCCAGAACCCTCAAGATAGAGTCATTCCTTCCATTTGGGAAATTAACCATGAATTGGGGTTCTCTTCCCACATTTATTCTCCAGACCAGGCAGTTACAGGAAGAGAACATAGGTGGTGGGGTTTTTTTCTAAGTACAGTTTAAGAAGTTAAACAATAGAAGCTGGTAACATTCAGTAAGAAAAGCAAAATGACATTCTGTAATGCAATTAAGTCGATCCACTAACAGAAGCTTGATCTTATGACAGAGACTATATAGCCTGGGGAAAATTTCCTGTCCTTTGCAAGGTCAATGTTTGAAACTGCAAGGCTTCGGAAAACCAGGCCCTGTGAAGTACATTTGTTTTATGCATACTTCACAATAAAACAGTTTGGCAGCAACAGAGTTCTTATCTGTTTATTCTGAAAATGGCAGGAAAACACTAAAATGTCACTGATGATATTGAACAGATCAAGCAAGATGCATCTAATCTTACTTTAGATCTTTACCCAATTTGATTAGCCAGCAAATAGGTTCTCTGTTTAGCTCTTTCAGTAATACCCTTTTTTCCTAGAGCTTCTGTTATTAGGCAAAGGGATTTACAATGCTGTCAAGCTAGAGACCACTCCAGTTGCCAGGTTACAGCAATTCATAACTAAAGCCAAAATGTTTCATTATTTATACTAAGTTTCCATTTGTGTTGTCACCAGACCCCTCACATGCAGACGACACAAGCTCAGTCCTCAGCAGCAGCTTACAGCAGCAGTACCAGCAGTAGCAGCAGCAGAGGCGGTGGCCTCTTGGGGCATCCCAGGGGGCTGGCAGCAACAGCCTCCAGCAGCAGTAGCAGCCTCCCTGTGACCACCCCCTGCCTGGGGGTGGAGGGCCATGTATTAGAGCCATTAGTCCTTTACACTTAAGTCATAACCCAGGACACCTGGGTGCACGTGTGCAGTTACATTAGACAATAACCAAGGACCACCTGGGTGCATGTGCATATTTACATCAAACACTTGGCAAGATTCTGAACATTTGAGGGGCCCTGACCATTTTCCTTCACTTTCCCTACAAACACAGTACCTGAATAAACAAAATATTTTTAAAGTCCAAGTGATTTGCTTCAAGATTCTTATTAATTAAAGCTTATTCTTTTCTTTGAAAGAAAAATTTGTGATTTCATATTTTCTCAAGTATGGGACTTCTGTTGTTTCCACAGGTGTCAAGTATTTTGAAGCAGGTGAGAAGCATGGTCACTTCATTGGGAAGACATGCTCTTGTGGCAATGTGGGCTGAGGAGAGGCTCCATTGAGTGGGAGACAAATTAGGAATTTATTGTAGTTGTTCAAGCAAAAGGTGATGAAGGCTGAAATTAAGATGAAAGACGGATAGAGGGGGCTTATGACAGATATACCGCTGAGGTGAAATTTACAGGATTTAATGACTGATTAAATATGGCTGATAAGGAGTAAGGACGAGGGAGGCACCCAGAGTGATCCCTCTGTGCTAAATTGAGTGAAATTGGGTGGAAAATTACACCATTAATTTAGGGATAGGGTAGAGGAAGAGATACAGATGTGGGGGAAGGAGATAAGTAAAACTCAGTGTGAAGTGTTACATTGTAAGTTCTCTACTCCTAAGGTCTTAGAGCATAGGAGAGATAAAAGAAAAAGACACGAATCATGAATACCAATGCTTTATATACACACTGTGATTTTTATTGTAGGCTGTTCACGGGTTCCTTTTTTCCCACCTGCTGGCTAAGCCGGAAGCACTGGGTTATGGTGGAGAAAAATCAGAGCCAAGAACAAAAGAAAAATATTTTACTATTTTTAGTTAAAGGCTCGTTCCCTGCCCCACTAGATTTTTTCCAGTAGGAGATATGGTGTGGGAGAGAGAGTTGGAAAGGAAGTTTGTGAGGGCTTTACTCTCTGCCTTCCTGGATGGTGTCTCCCAACCAAGGGAAGGTGCTCATTCCTGAAAGACTGGGGATGTTTCTCTAATGTAGGGACCAACTGGTACCTACTTCTCATGTGCTGTTTGCTAAGTGGCAGAAAACATAGCAGGTAGGAAGGGGTCAAGATCTTCCCTGCCTTGTTTTCCCTTGGATTTGAAGTTTGCTATGTCAATCCCTGAGACCTAGGATAAACCCAAGACTGTAGCTGTGAGCAGGTGCCTGCTTGTTTGCACCCTTTGAGATGCTCCCCAGTAGTGAGGGTGATGGTAGAAGTATGTGTGGGCGAGATGCCCACGTGGGCATGGACAGATCCATCAGTGTGCTACAGGACAGCAAGCATCTGACTCTGCTTGGGTGAGAGACCAAACTGCCAGCCTCAAAAGTTAAATCCTGTCCATCATGGAAGGAAAATGAAGCCACGGCTGAGAAGTGGGCTTCTCCCTCTGTTTCCTGCTGGAGGCGTCAGTCGCCAGCAGGTGCACTGACCAGGAGTTGGAGCAGAGGGACAGAGAGCGGGCCACACCCTTTCCCTCCTGTTTAATGTAAATGTTTCTAATCCAAGTGGGACTCAGATGAGGAGAAAGGGCTTCGAACTCCAATACGATACTGGGCATACAGGTCGGCTGCCTGCTCCCTTTCAAAAGCAAACCACTCAAAAGTCAAAAGTTGGTAAAAATGGCAGTCAGCTTTTATTCAGGAATACCAGTGACCTGAGGAGAGATGTTAGGCTAGCCCATCTCTCTGGTAAGCCTGAAGGAGGATGCTGGCTAAAGCCATCTCCCCAGTAAACCTGAAGAATGGCCAGGCTAAAGCCATCTCAAAGACTCAGATTTATTGAGGGTTTTTAAAGAGAGGGGGCTGAGGGAATGGAACATGGGACATAAAAAGCAGGAGGGAGGGGGACTTGCAAGGGGCCATGTGCAAAGTATCACCAGGACTCCAACCGGTTTCTGCTCCTGTCCTTGCTGTTATCTCATGGTCCTGCTGGACGGTGGAATCAGCGTGGCTTTACTGACGTCTTCCTTGGTTTCCCAGGGTCTGGGTAATATGTGCAAGTCTGCAGCTCCAGGCTGGCTGGAAAACAACTTTACATCATGTAAATAATGTCATCTCACCCCATAACCAAGGTTTAAAATATCAAATAACCATGGGAAAAGAGGGAACTTCGAAAAATGC